TTTTTTTGAGGGTGGAAATGTTTTTCATGCTGGGAGGGGCTCTCCCTGTAGTCTCCACCTTAAACAGAAGGCCCTGGGGTGTGAACTTTGAGGGCACTTCTTGGGGGGGGGTTAACAACAGAGTTCCCAGGTCTGTCTTCCTCTAGCCCTGGGCAAATTGTCCTCACTGGGGTGCCACCTAGTGCAGGGAGCCTTCCTTGATTGCCCCGTGTGTGTGTGTGTGTGTGTGTGTGTGTGCGCGCAGTCCCTTCCCCCACCATAACCTCAGATGCTACCTGTACCCCTTATCATGTTCTTTTCCCCATCCCCACGCCCCAGCCTACAAGGGCTGAATACTGCCCCTCTGTTGTTTTATTTATTTATATTTAGAGGATTTAGGTTTAAGAAGGTCACACAACAGCCCTGACCTGACCCTGGGAGGCACCACCAGACTCCTGCAGCTTGGTCAAGAGCCATAGCTTTGAGCTCTCTCACCCCAAGACCTAGCAGGGGCCCTGTACACAGTAGGCATCATTAAGCCTCCCTCTCTGGAGGAGGAGGGGAAGGAGGAGGAGGAGGAGGAAGAGGAGGAAGAGGAGAAAGATCTCCAGGTTGGGTCTCTAGTGAACACACTGGCCACCTGCTCTAAAGGACAATCTTTCCTCTGCCTCCCAACAACCTGTTGGTACCTGGTGGGCATTAGAGACCACACCCTTCAGGATACCCTCCCCTCCCCCGCTCCCCAGCCTCCTCTCTCACTGCCCCACACCCTAATCACAGTGCTCCCTTCCACCCAGCTCCTTCTTGCCCCCTGGCCTCCACGTTCCTGGAGCTGACATTTCATCACTGCCTGCCCAGCAGCTGCTTGGGAATATTCAAAACCTGCAAGGAGATGGCAAAGCTACCTTCCAAGGCCACGATGCCATGGGCCAGCCTGGGTTGGATCCCAGATGGAGCCCACAGAGGCTTGATGGGTGGGCCAGGTCTGGATGCAGCTCCCCACTTTCCAACCCTAGGGGAGACCAGTATCACTTCAGGCTCTGAGCCTGGTATCCTTATGAGCACATCTGCCCCACCCTGCAGCTCACCGTGCTTAGCCACGGGGGCTGCTGTCACCGTCATGACCACGGTTTCCCTGCCAGTCAATCACACGCCCCCGTTTAAGTACAAGTTTGTGAGCATGCGAAGGGGCAAGGCTGCTGGGTCCCCAAGTTGGCTGCACCCTTGGGTGCCAAGCGGCCCTAAAGGACCCTCGGTCTGTACCTGAAGCAGCAAGTGGAGATGGAGGAATGCCTTGACCCAGTCTTGACCCAGTTGGGAACAGCTCTCCTCCACCCCAGCCTCTGCCAGTCAGGGGATTGGGCCCTGAGGGGTCAAGTTAGCTTTGAGGGCTGGAAAGAATCACACACACACACACACACACACACACACACACACACACAGACACATGGTTATGCAACTTCATACTTCTGTTAGTAAGCAACTGATATTGTATAACTGGAGCACACCCTCCTTCTAAATTTACGCTCAGGTGGCAAGGACACTTACAGAAATCTTCAAGGTGTAATTAAAAAAAAAGAGTAGAAATATGATTGGTCAAGGCTGGGGGTGTGGCTTGTTGTAGAATGCCTGCCTAGTGTGTGTGATACCCTGGGTGGACCCCTATCTCCATGCTAAAAGTGTGTGTGTGTGTGTGTGTGTGTGTGTGTGTGTGTGTGTGAAGACAGTGAGTGTGCAAATACATGTGAGAGACAGTGCATGCATGTATGGTGTAAGAGACAGTCTGTGAAAGCATGTATGTGACAGAGAGACTGTGTGTAAGACAGTGTATATGCATGTATGGAGAGATCGTGTGTGTGTGTGTGTGTGTGTGAGAGAGAGAGAGAGAGAGAGAGAGAGAGAGAGAGAGAGAGACTGTGTGTGAGAGAGACTGTATATGTGAGCATGTGTAAGAGACAGTATATATGTATGTGTATGGTATGTGTGCACATATGTGTGTGTATTGGGTCAGGTCCAGAAGCACTGCTCTCCCCCATGTCTGGGAAATGGCTCTTGACTGCTAGCCCTGAGGGGGCTCTGAGGGTGGGAGTGGCCCTCCTGGCTTTGTTCCCAAGCCCCTGGAGACTGTCAGGTGGGGGACCATCTCTACACAGGGTGGATCGCTTCCTCTTCTGCAGACAGCGCCCCCTGTGGTTGAGTGAAGGAAGCAGTATGGAGCCTCCTATTTTGGGGCTTTGGGGCCCCACCTTGGCTGGGGTTGACACCTGTGCTTGGAAGACATCACTTTTCCTTTCTGTCCTCCGTTGCTCTGGGTCAGTGTTCCCCAAGGCTTCCTGGGTACACGGCTCAGGCATGGCTCAGCAAATGCAGAGAAGAGGTGGGGTGACCTAGGCACAGGGAGGGCCTTGGGGATGGGTGGGCTGCAAAGAACCTGTGCTGGCTGATACCGTCAACGTGGCGGGATCTAGACTCAGCACGGAGGCGAACATCTGGGGGGTAGGGGTGTGAAGGAGCTTCTAGACTGGGTTAACTGAGGTGGGAAAATCCATCCTTAATGTGGGCAGTACCATCCCATGGCATAGGGTCCTGAACTGAACGAAAAGGAGGAGCGAGCTGAGCACCAGCGCACATATCTCTCTGCTTCCTGACTGCGGATGTGACGTGACCAGCTGCTTCACATGCCTTCCCCATCTAGATGGACTGTACCGCAACCTTCCTTCCTTAAGCTATGTTTGTCAGGACAGCAACAAGAGAAATAATTACTAGAAGATCCATGCTGTTCCCAGGCCCCATGTGACGGGGCCCAGCGTTCTTGGGTCTTGAAATCTTGGGGAATCAACAAAAAGCTCAAAACAAAATCGAGAGCCCCAACCCACTTCCAGAGAGGAGAGGACGCAGCCTCCCAAGTCAGGCTGGGTCTCTGGGAGTCTGTTCTGGGGTGAGCCACTTCAGCTGGCTTCCTGTTCGTCGCCTGGGCTGGGCTGTTGGGGACTGTCTCCCCTCTGAGTCCCTCACTACTTAGAAACTGGCCTTGTCCCCAAACTGCTGCTGGAAGTCAGACATTTTGATCAGGCCAAACTCAGAGGCCAGTTTCACTGAGAAGGCCTGATCTACATGGGGTAAACAGGCCTGGCTGCTTGCGGTGGCCTTTATGATGGGACGTTTACCCTTGCAGTGCACTGTGCCATCTCGTCACCCTTTACTGGCTTTTGATGCCAGGCACCAACAGTCATGGGTATCTTTGCTGACACTTTCACAGTCCCTGGGTGTATGAACAAGAAGTGACAGGAGGAAGAAGAGGATCTGTCTGCACAAGGCTCAGCCGGAACACTTTTGTTCTGACCTCCTTGGCTTCACCCACATGGAAGGAACCTCTTGCCCTCTGTCTCACACTACATATCTGAGAACTTAGCCATCTGTGGCTCAGGGAAATGCTGAACAAACAGGCTTTTTCAGAGTCTAACCCAACAGGAGTCTCTGTAGCAGAAGGAGGCAACACTTGATCATCAAGACTCTGGGCCCAAACGAGAGCCCAGGTCCCTATAACTATGTGTATGTGTGTGTCTGTGTATGCATATGTGCATGTGAGTACAACTGCCTGTAGAGGACAGAAGAGGGCATTGGGTCTCCTGAAGCTGGATTTATAGGTGGTTGTGTGCTCCCATGTGGATGCTGGAAACTGAACTCTGGTCCTCTGAAGAACAGCAAGCACACTTAACTGCTGGGCCATCTCTCTACCTATTATTCCTAAATCTAAACAGAGCACAGAAAACCACTGTACAATTTCATGTACCAAAGGAAATTCTCTGGGCTGGCAAGATGGATCACTGGGTAAAGGTGCTTGCTGCTAAAACTGATGCCCTAGGTTGGATCCCTGGGATCCACATGGTTGAAGGAGAGATCTGACTTCGGTAAGTTGTCCTCTAACCTTCACAGGTGGACATACACTCACACAAAATAAATACATAAATTCACCAGAAAAGAGAGGGGCTTAATAAGTGCTGGTGACTCACAGTAGCCAAGGGTAGAGACAGGAACGAGGGAAAAATGAGCCATCTGTGAGTCAGGACCATTGTGAAGACCAAGGGCCAAAATACTGGGCTGGTGGTGGTATCCCAGGGAAGGACCAAACAGATGCTAAATAGGTACATGACATAACTTGCTAAAAGTGACTTGAGCATAGAGAGTCAGAGGAAATCATTCCCAGGGAATTTACCACCAAGATAGCGGGAGAGGGGCTGTCAATCATTTCCTTCTCTCTGGTGACGTCAACGCCCCAGCAGAGGCAGTGGACTGCTTCCACTAGGAACCACCAGTCCTGGAACGCAGCCAGAACCTGGTACCCAGTATGAAGGGTCTGTCTGTCTTCTGCAGAGTTGGGGGGTGGGGTGGTGGTTTGTTCCAGGGGAGGGTCCAGCCTCTTCCTGTGTCTGGTTCATTCAATGCCTGATCCCTGAGAATTCCTAAGAACTTTGAAAACATGCCCAGGGTAGGTTAGGACTCGCCAGCCTCCATCGCCTCCTCCCGGAAGCCTTTCTTGTGGGACTGGGGACACTGACTCAGCTCAGCTCCACAGGCCCGGAGGCGCCTGGCGCACTGCTGCCCTGTCACAGTCTCATTCTGCCATAGTCCATTCTGTACTTTCTCTCTCCTTGCCTTTGACAGCCTGTATGTTTATGTTGATTTATTTAACAGGCAGTGGTAAGATCTCATTCGAGCTAGCTATAAGCTCTTCACAAATATTAACTCTTGGTCTTTCCATGGTTTCAGCTATGAGGGAATTTGCACCCAGCTCCCAGCTCCCCAGTGACCCCACAGGATCACAGCATCATCCCCAGCAC